GTTTCCAGGCAAAAATGCTTAATGAGTTTCCCTGCAACCTAATATGAGGGTTTGAGGGGACTATGGAATCTATCTGAAGTTGGAACAGATTCAAGTGGAGAGAGTTATTCTTTATCCATAAAGCTATGAGTGCTGAGTAAATTGTTTCTACCAGGGAGTGATGTAGTCCATCTTAAGTTTTAGACAAACTATTATGTCCATAGAGTGATGAAGGACTAGAATGGAGATATTGAGATCAGTTAGGGTGCTATTAATGAAACAAGTCCTGAATTCATGTCTCTTTCTTTTCAGCAATTTTTAATCACATTTGTCAGTCATGAAATTATCCCAAAACAGCACAGGGACCCAGGTGACTGAATTCCTGATGATCTGCTTCCCAGGAATGCAGGACACACAGCACTGGCTGTCTATCGTCCTGGCTCCTCTCCTGGTTTTGGCTCTTGGGGCCAACTTTGTGTTATTACTCACCATTCAGCAAGAGGCATCTCTGCATGAGCCCATGTACTACCTACTTGCCATCCTCTCTGTGCTGGATGTCATCTTCTGCCTTACAGTCATCCCCAAGGTCAGATACTCCCTAGATTCTCTTTCAGGCACTCAGCCATCCTTCTCTAAATAGTACCTTGTTCTGCTGTTGTAGATCCTCCCATCCCCAGGAAAAATGATCAAGGAGTAATCCACACCACCACACCAGGTCTACCACAGCTCCCAGATGTGTTCTTTATAATCCTTCACCAGGTCTTGTTAGGTTTTCATTAATTTTTAACTGACAGACTTTCTCTCAGAATCAAGTTAGTGATATTCCAAGTACCAACCTGCTTTTTACTTGTAGGGCAGTTTCCCTTGATTCTGACTTATTCCACTTCTACACCAGACAGCTCAAGAATTCACTTTCTAAAATGTAGTTGGGTGTATATTTATGTTATATACTGAGATAGGAAGCATGATTGGAAGAGGCTTCTTATGCTACTGGAGGAGTTGGAGGATGTCCAAATCAAGGTAGCAAATGTTCTGAGTTTGATGTTCCTATGATACATACATCCTGTGAAGGGCAGATGTACCACTGGAGTTGGGGTAAGAATTGTGGAGCTCAGGAGGGAGAGGACAAGAATAAACTTTAAAAAAAAAAAAAAACCCAAAAAACAAAAGATTAATCTCTAAGTAGAGAAAGGCTATAAATATTAATAAATCAGAATGTGGACCTCAGAAATCAAGTAAAATATTTGAAATGTGGATACTCTTCAGGCAGGGATTTGGGGCCAGTAGTTTGAGCATATGGGTGGGTGAATCATTTGAGAGTTTTCCTGAGGGTTAGGTCCTCTGAGAATGGATGTACATGGATTTTGAGATCAATGATTCTGGCAGGTGCTGCTCATCTTTTGGTTCAACATGAAGCCCATCAGCTTTGCAGGCTGCTTCCTGCAGATGTTCGTCATGAACACGTTCCTTCCCATGGAATCCTCCACCTTTTTGGTCATGGCCTATGACCGCTATGTAGCCATCTGCCACCCTCTGCGCTACCCATCCATCATCACGGACCAGTTCGTCATTAATGCCGCCATCTTCATTGTCTTACGCAATCTGCTTGCCACGCTGCCCACTCCAGTTCTGGCTGCTAGGCTCGACTACTGTGCTAACAATGTGGTGGAGAACTGCATTTGTGCCAACATTTCTGTGGCAAAGCTCTCCTGTGGGGACATTCGCCTCAATAAGCTCTACCAGTTTGTGAGTGTTTGGTGTCTATTAGGTTCTGACCTGGTGCTCATCTTGCTATCTTACTGCTTTATCCTGAGGGCTGTTACTCGTCTGCAGTCAGGGGGTGCAGCTACCAAGGCGCTGAGTACTTGTGGATCCCATCTCATCCTTATACTGTTTTTTTATACACTGCTGCTGGTGTTTATCTTCACAAACAAAGCAGGAAAAAAGGTACCATCAGAGGTTCCCATTCTTCTTAATGTCCTCCACCACCTCATCCCAGAGGACAAGAATAAACTTTAAAAAAAAAAACAAAACCCAAAAAACAAAAGATTAATCTCTAAGTAGAGAAAGGCTATAAATATTAATAAATCAGAATGTGGACCTCAGAAATCAAGTAAAATATTTGAAATGTGGATACTCTTCAGGCAGGGATTTGGGGCCAGTAGTTTGAGCATATGGGTGGGTGAATCATTTGAGAGTTTTCCTGAGGGTTAGGTCCTCTGAGAATGGATGTACATGGATTTTGAGATCAATGATTCTGGCAGGTGCTGCTCATCTTTTGGTTCAACATGAAGCCCATCAGCTTTGCAGGCTGCTTCCTGCAGATGTTCGTCATGAACACGTTCCTTCCCATGGAATCCTCCACCTTTTTGGTCATGGCCTATGACCGCTATGTAGCCATCTGCCACCCTCTGCGCTACCCATCCATCATCACGGACCAGTTCGTCATTAATGCCGCCATCTTCATTGTCTTACGCAATCTGCTTGCCACGCTGCCCACTCCAGTTCTGGCTGCTAGGCTCGACTACTGTGCTAACAATGTGGTGGAGAACTGCATTTGTGCCAACATTTCTGTGGCAAAGCTCTCCTGTGGGGACATTCGCCTCAATAAGCTCTACCAGTTTGTGAGTGTTTGGTGTCTATTAGGTTCTGACCTGGTGCTCATCTTGCTATCTTACTGCTTTATCCTGAGGGCTGTTACTCGTCTGCAGTCAGGGGGTGCAGCTACCAAGGCGCTGAGTACTTGTGGATCCCATCTCATCCTTATACTGTTTTTTTATACACTGCTGCTGGTGTTTATCTTCACAAACAAAGCAGGAAAAAAGGTACCATCAGAGGTTCCCATTCTTCTTAATGTCCTCCACCACCTCATCCCACCAGCCCTCAATCCCATTGTTTATGGAGTACGAACTCAGGAAATCAAGTATGGAATTATTAAGCTACTCAAGTACCAGAAATGAGAGGTATGAATCAAAAATCAGGGATTACAGAACTTTAGACATGCTTAATAGAAGAATTCATCTGAGTGTCATAAAACTCTTCAATATTACATAGATGGCCTTATTTTAAACTATCTTGCACTATGATCACAATTTTTATCGTCCTTTCCCATCTACAAATACATGTTGAACCTACCCATCTTTAAATATTTGTTATTTTTTTTTCATTCTGACTCTGTACCATCAAGATGCCTCAGCTATTCATTCATTAGATAAGTATTTGTCATTTTTGGTGTACTTCTCAGTTTTTACATTCTGAGTGGTTCTCAGAGCAGTAATGAGGAAGCACTTTAAATAGAACATGGGAGGTCTGAGTAGAATTAGGGAAAACATTAAGAAGTTTCTCTAATCCAGGTGGAAAGTGATAATGGCTCAGACTAAGGTGTTGAATGAAAATGGAAGTTATGGGTCACAGGATCTGCAGAGAAGACGTACATAGCTATAAAAGATAGAAGGGATTAAAGGACAACACAGCTTTTAGCAAAAGCCACTGGAAAGGTGATATTGATGTTAACCAAGGTGCTAGTTTTAGTAGCACAGCTAGTTTAGCTTTAGACAATGAGCTACTCCCTCCCATGACTGCACTTTAAAAATGATTATTAAATACTCAATGAGGAAGTAAAAGTAAGAAATTGGACATATAGTACTTGTCATGGTTAGTCACAGGCTAGAAGTAGACATTTGAATCATCAGAGTAAAGATGATATATTGATATATATATAAACTTGATTTGCAGACCACTAATTATCCTCTAATTTCCATGTCTTTCTTCAGGTCACTTTTTCAAATGTTAGATTCCTTCAACTAACAATTGTCTGTCACTCTCAATAGACGGTGAGATGATTAAAGTTAGAAAGCATATTTAATTCCTTGTGTCTGCAACATTGATATTGCACCTTTCATAGAACAGGTATTTTTTCACTTACTTAATAAATGATTTTGCTTGTCTCAAGACTTAGTTCCATCATGTGGCATCTGGATTATAGAGTGTTGAACAATATTGACTATTGATGAAGTTTCATATGCTGGTTTTAGCAAACATATTCATATTTGTGCTTTTTTCTTTTTTGAAAGAGAGATTTTTGCTATAGGACATTTGTGCTCACCAGAGAGACAGAAAGCAAGAAATCACTACCCCCTGCCCCCTGGGGGGGATGGCCATGTTACAATCTCTTCTTCTCCACTTTCTTCTCAGGATTTTGGGCACACATGCACATGAACCCAGCATGTTTCAAGCTACTGGGTCTGGGGTTTAAATCCAGTTAGCCATGTGGGAGTCAATGACATAACCATTACCCCATTTGCTGGCCCCAATATATATGTCTTCTCCACAATGAAATACCACTTAACTCCAGTCAGAATGGATAATGTTAAGTGCTGGTAAGGATGCACTAAAATGGGAACCCTCTTACTCTGTTGGTGGGAATGTAACCTAGTATAGTCACTGTGGAGAACAATATGGAGGTTCCTCAAAACCTACAAATAGCACTATTATATGATCCAATAAATCTATTCCTTGAACTTTACCCAAAAGATAGAAACACTCAGTTGGAAAAACACTTGCACATTCATGTTTATTGCAACATTAATTCACAATTGCTAAGACATGGAATCAACCCAAATGTTCAAGAGCAGATGAATTAATTAAAATTTTGTGGCATGTATGTATTATGGAATACTACTCAGCCATAAAAATGAGATCCTGAAATTTGACATGAAGTGGACCAATATGGAAGATTTAATGCTGAATGAAGCAAGTCAGACTATGAAAGAGAGACAGCATATGCCCCCACTTTATATATATTGAATGTCTGACTCTATGGTGAAAACTGGGAGATTGGAATGTATAAAAGTAGAGAGAACAACTGTAGATACTAGAGACAGTGTGGGAGGGGTTGGGCAATGCGGGAAGGAAAGAAGGGAGCTGGGGAGGGCATTTAATGGACACAAAAATGGAAAGTTACTTGTTGATAATGTATATGGTAGTAAATTTGGACCAATATATGATGTATTTATGCTGGGAGAAACAAATAATTAATTTTTAAAAACATATCTTTTTTTATAAGAATAAAACATTACTTAGCATAATTTAACTGATTGGTCAACTTCTATACTCAAAGTAAGGCTATGATTTTAATGCAAAATTTGAAGAGATGCTAATAGCAAAGTGTTGTTAAACATTTAATAAACAAGAAAATTTTTGTTTAGGTTAATTTGTTTATTCCATGAATGAGAGAATAGAGGAGAGACAGAGACAGAAATACAACACTTCCAATAGGGTCCTGACAGCATGATTCACCCTCATTGTAGCCGCCCTGAATAATGGGTACATGTGTGCCCGGAGTACTCATAGAACTTTCTAGATATGAATCAACAACCTTTGCATATGGGATTGCCTCACAGAACTTCTTGTTTTGTTGCTTCATCACCACCTGGCCCCTTTATTACATTATTTACTAAAACATTTTTATATATCAAGTTGATACAATTAAACTCAACTAGCAGATGAGGAGAATGCATTTGTAAAAAAATGTAGAATTCTTCATCTGCAGGTGATACAATTTCCTTCCCAAAATTTCAAGAGAATCATTTGCATAAAATTGCTAACAAAACCTACAAATGTTGCCAACTAAAATATATTTTAAAACTCACATATACCTTAGGTGATGATGAAAATCAATTAAACACATAATACCCCCAAAATATAATCAGAGTAACAACGAGCATATACACTCATATATATGAATAAACATGTACATATCTAAATATATGATGAAATGTGAGTATATTTATAGAGAGATACATATAAGCATATATATAAAAATAGATTGATGGAAGGAAAGAGAAGTTCAAGGATCAAAGAAAGTCTGATTGTCACTAGGAAATGGTGGCAGCTTGATCCCATATCACTCCATACCCCCCCCAAAAAAAATCATAGATCACAAGAAGTGCTAGTGAAACCAAATCACCCACTCCTTCAACCTGAATACCAGATAGCACACCATACAGCTTCAATTTAAGAACAGAAGAAGAGTTACTGCTGGAACTCCCTCTGTTATTGTTGATTAGGATTCAGAATGTGAGTAGAATGAAACTTAAAAGATCACTGGAAGAGAGTAAATGGTGGGAAGATCTATGCATAGCAAATGTGAAATCTCCCACAGAAACAAAAAGCTCTGTACTAAGTCCTAAGATATCAACCACAACTCAGGGCTGTCATTGGCAACAGCATTGACTACTGGAAAGTGTCTTGAAAGTGAGTAATAGGAAGAGAATGAAGAGCCTCAGAAATACAGTGTTTCTGGGAAGAGGGTTTGTAGCTATTTCAGTCTAGTAAATCGTGGGTGTTTTGATCTGGGACTTGTCTATATGAATTAGGTCTAGCGTTTTGTGGGGAATTAGAGAATGGTCATTTTAGTTTTTGTTTGTATTCTGGGCACTGTCCAAAGAATGAATATTGAGCCTGTTGAGTTAGGTCTTGATGTAACATGAATCTTCTTTTTATTTCCATGGGAGTATTGCAGCCCATTAAGAGTGTTTGGGTGCACATCTGTTTATTGGGGGAGGTGTGCCCTTAATTAAAAATTTTATTAATGAAAAAAATACTGTAAAGAATGCGGTGCCTCTTGAGTGATGTCATAGGAAAAAGAGGAAAGGCAATAAAAGGTAATGTTATATGGTAGCAAAATATTGGAGGACATAAAAGCAGTGAAAATACTTAAGGAGAATAAGACAGTGTGGAATGGAGGGGTGAAGAGAAGAGGACAGAGAAAGATAGCAAGAGAACAAATAAAGAGGCATGACATTAGTGGGACATAGATATGGCTTTTTACCTGTTGATGATGACATGTATAGTATTCTCAACTGGATGGGTCTGAGAAGTATTTCATGATGGGTAAAGTCTGTTTACAAGCAAAATGAGAAATAGTTATTGACTAGTTAAAAAAATAATTGGAATAATATTAATAATGAACGGGAAAAACAAAAGATATTGAATGATGAAGTGGGGATTTTAATGTCTCGGTATTGACTGACATGCGTGGCATTCCCTTTTGAAAAAGCAATGTAATACACTGCAAATTTATATGCAATTCAATGTAACATAAACAAGATTATATGATAATAAACAAAACAAAACGAAAGAGATCCTAAAAAAGTAAAGGGAAATTACATGACTTGGCAATCTGTTTTCCCACCAATAGCTTGCTTTAAAAAAACCAATCTCCAGACTGACAGAAGAGGGCGCTTTTAAACTAGGAACTTGTCAGCAAAATAATGGGAAATAGGAAAAATCAGTTTGTCTGTAAAATGCTAAAGAAAGAAGGAGAGAATTGTACCGTACACACAGATTAACCAAAGATATGTCAAAAACATAAGTCTAAGAGCTACAAGTATGAAACTCTTAGGAGAAAATATAGAAGTAAAACTTAATGACCTTGGATGAGGAAATGATTTCTCAGATAACACCCAAAGAACAAGCAACCAAAGAAAAAATATCACATAAATTGGACATTATAAAAAGAAGAACGAAAACAAAAAACACGGGAAAAAAACCCAACTCTACATCCTAAGGATATACTGCAATCCCTTCTCCTCCATTCTCCTCTCGGGATCTTGGGCACGCACGCACACGCGCCCGGCGTGGGTTTTAAGCCACCAGGTCCAGGATGCGAACCGCAGTCGACTACGTGGGAGTCCAGCGACATAGCCATTACGCCAACTGCTGGTTCCCATTTTTTTTTTTTTTGGAGAGGTTTATGCTATAGGGTGCATGCGCTCGCCAGAGAGACAGAATGCGAGAAATCACTCCCCACCCCAGGGGGGGATGGCCACGCCACAATCCCTTCTCCTCCATTCTCCTCTGGGGATCTTGGGCAGGCACGCACACGTGCCCAGTGTGAGTTTTAAGCCACTGGGTCCGGGATGCGAACCGCGGTTGACTACATGGGAGTCCAGTGACA